TTAACCCACCGGATTAAAGCTAACTATGTTGACTGGTGTGAATTCAACTACACAAAAAAAACAGCAACTTTGGAATATCTTCAGAAGCAATGAATGAATCCTTTATTCTTTACATTTATCGTTCACTAATTAGAGTCTGCTTCAGCATAAAAGTCTCCTGTTCTCAAATCTTCGTTGGTCCTGTTCGCTCTGTTGTACGTCCATTGTCCCGTCATTGTCTCTTCGTCCGTTGTTTTGTTCGTTGTTTCGTCCGTTGGTTTTTACGTTGGGCGCCATTTGTTGCGCGACCAACTCGAATCCTCTTGTCTGTCTTCATTTTGTCATCTGTTGGTATGTTGCTCTGTTATTTCGTCGTTGTCTCGTCTTACGTTCGTGTCGTTGGGCGCCATTTGTTGCGTCTACCTGTTGGTAGTTCCGCGTCCTCAGAAACCACTCATGGCACGGTGGCTAGCCCGGTATGCTCGCCGGTGTTGGGGTGGGGTTCTTGGCAACTGAGGAATCGCTGCAGACAACAACAAAAAAAAATTCGTGCCATGTTTTTTTTTTAGTTCGTATCCTAACTAACCAAATCTATCTATAATCCATTAATATTTCATTTATACATTTATTTATATTCATATAATAATATTCAAATAATGAGTATGATATTCACATAATAATCTAACTTCATTAATTATTTCAATGCTTAAAAACAAAAAACTATTATTTATCTAATTCATTCTACTTGACCTAAATTACTTCAATATATCTACGCAAAAAAAAAAATATATATATAACTAAAGCTATTATTATTTATTTGGGTTTCTTAAATTTAAAAAAATCCTCATCGAATAATGTGGGGAGAGTCTTGCCCTTGATGGTCACTACTACTGCAGCTGCCTTAGGAAGTTCGGTATACGCCAGGCTTGCACCTAGGTCGCTGGTCCTACCTCTGGATAACCCTACCGCTTTCATTTCAGTCATGATGGACTTTTCCACTCCCCAGTCGACGTTCTTAACAGCACCAGCTTGTATCGCCATGTTTTCTTTGAATGTGGGAAACACTGGTAATACATCCGGTAATGCTTGAGTGCTGTTCGTAAAATGTTTCATTTTTAAAATCACGTGAAAATAGTTGAATACAATTTCTTTTTAAGGAATCCCTGTCTTAGGAAAAATGATTGGAACGTCGCACTAACACCACCCCTTTATATAGATTCAACAAAATCTCATAATGAAGTTATAAACAAAATAATAATAAATAAAAAAATATATTCTTGTAACTTTTTTTTTTTTTTTATTATATACTATAAATACAGAAATTGTTTTATGACGTTTATAATATAATTTCAAAGTAGTAATAAAAATTTTACCAAATATTTCCCCATATATAGATATTTACGTTATTTCATATATGGATATTTACAATATTTCCTATATAGATATTTACAATGTTTCATATATATATATAGATATTTACAAAGAATTTCATATATACATATTTTTCTAATAAAATTTTACTAAATATTTACATTATTCACTAATGTCTTCAATATATATATATATTTTTATCAAAAATAATATAATAAACCTATTGTGATTACCAGGTTTTTATTCATTCCTTTCTCAACAACTATTTTTTTTTCTTTGTTATACTTATTATGGTGACAATTGGTGTATATACAAAAAAAAACTTCCCTAACCAAAACACCAACAAAAGAATAGAAAATAGAAAAAGAAAATTGTAGTACTGATAATAAACATGAAACCAAAAGAAAAAAATATTCAATTATAAAACACTCAGTTTTTAACTGAGTAAATTAGTTATCTCTTTTACGTTTGCTATTTGTTCTCATAGCTTACCTTGCAGCCGCAGAAATGACGTCACTCCAGCCACCGCTGTGACCTATACTATAAATACAGAAATTGTTTTATGACGTTTATGATATAATTTCAAAGTAGTAATAAAAATTTTACCAAATATTTCCCCATATATAGATATTTACGTTATTTCATATATGGATATTTACAATATTTCCTATATAGATATTTACAATGTTTCATATATATGTATATATAGATATTTACAAAGAATTTCATATATACATATTTTTCTAATAAAATTTTACTAAATATTTACATTATTCACTAATGTCTTCAATATATATATATATATTTTTATCAAAAATAATATAATAAACCTATTGTGATTACCAGGTTTTTATTCATTCCTTTCTCAACAACTATTTTTTTTTCTTTGTTATACTTATTATGGTGACAATTGGTGTATATACAAAAAAAAACTTCCCTAACCAAAACACCAACAAAAGAATAGAAAATAGAAAAAGAAAATTGTAGTACTGATAATAAACATGAAACCAAAAGAAAAAAATATTCAATTATAAAACACTCAGTTTTTAACTGAGTAAATTAGTTATCTCTTTTACGTTTGCTATTTGTTCTCATAGCTTACCTTGCAGCCGCAGAAATGACGTCACTCCAGCCACCGCTGTGACCTAGCTATAAATTCAAAAATCCCAAACAACTAAACAAAGAAATAAATATTTAGACATCAGTGGTTGTAATTGATTTTTTTTTTTCTTTTCTGATATGTTGATATTTTTCTCTTTGATATTACAGATTGATCCAAAAACAAAAAAAAATTATAGTTATCAAGTCATTCAAAACAGTTTTCTTCTTGTAAATGATAAAACAACCAAATAAAATATATATCTTTTTTATTCTTTTTTTCTAATTTAATATAAGATTAATAATAACTAAATAATAAATTTAATAAAAACATAAATGAAATTATGCAGTTAAAGCTTTAAAGTTTTTTTTTTTTTTTTTATTCTTTTCTTTTATTCAAATTGTATCCTTAATAGCTGGAATACCTGGCCACCGTTGTATCCTAACGGTGGATCCAGTTGCCGTTACTGTCCTTCAGTTCCTGTTGTTTCCTTTTACGTCTGTTAGATATTGAGTGCGATGATTTTTATTCAAATTCTTATGATCAGTTATAGCACTTTTTCCTTCTTCTTCTTAAAAAAAGACTTCTTTTCCATCTTTCAATTCATACTTTTATTAATTTTACATAATTTTTTTTTTGTTAAAAATTTATCTATTCTTGAACTTTAGTAACTTTCATTAAATTTAAACAATTTTTTTTAAATATTTAGCTATTTCCGAATTCAGTTCACTTTTTATACCTTATACTAAGATTTTTAATGAATTGGTGCACTTTTAATAAAATTTAATAATAAAAACAAATTCTTGTTAAAAATTCTGCGTTTTTATGTGCTTTTAATAAAATTTAATAATAAAACAAATTCTTGTTAAAATTTTGCGTTTTTATGCACTTTTTATAAAATTTAATAACAAAACAAATTCTTGTTAAAATTTCGCGTTTTTATGCACTTTTTTTAAAATTTAATACAAATTATAATCAATTTTGCATTTTTATTCAATTTTATCAACGTTGAATAAAATTTATCATTAACTTTGAATCTTTGTTCAATTTAATCAACATTTAATAAAAAAATTTTTAATTAATTTTTGGATTTTTTATTCACTTTAGTCAAGTTTAAAAACAATTTTTAATTAATTTGGAAACTTTGTTCATTTTTCATAAATTAAATTTAAAAAAAATTTTCTTTTGTCGACTTTTAATAACGAACGTGAACTAATATGTCCCACTTGCCGTTCTCAGAAAACACCAAAATACAAGAGACCGAATCAAGCCTCCGCTGGCTCTTTTATAGTCAATTTGTCTAACTGCTCAATCCTCCTGCCACGTTAGTGATCCTGTTAACTCTTTGGTTACTGTAGACTGCCCTTGAAAAGTTTTCACCACTCTCCTAGTTGGCTTTGCTGATTTTGTTTTGTGTTTATTTAATTGTTGGAGGGTGATGACCTCTAAGAAAGCTTACTTTATTTTTTCCTTCCAATAAAGTTAAAATTTGTCTTAAGTGTATCAGTGTATTATTTGTACTTGGCAATACCATCTTTTATATCTAAGTCAAACTTTACTGGAGCTTTCGACCTAATTCGCCTCAATTATATCGATCAAAACAAAACGAAACAAAAGCTTTTACACGATTTTTATATATTATTTTGTCTGTGCGAGCAATGCACATGAATAAATTGTAAAGAAAAAAAATAAGTGATATCAGTGCAATATTTATATATTTATATATAAAAAAAAGAAAAAATGTTTAAAAAACAAAAACATTATGAGATGAACAGGTGCGAGGTCGAATGATGACTTGCTCGGCCAACTAACCAAAAAAAAAAAACAACACCACAGGCAGAGACATTGGCTGATTTTTTTATGGACATCGCGGGAAGTTCGAGGTAATGTCTGTAACATTTACTTCATTCTTATTGGATTAAATATTCTATTCCCTCACAGGCCTACATAACATTATTCATACAAAAAAACAGATACTCACCGCAGCTGTTATGATGACGTCATCCGCTCACCGCTGTTCACTGCTAAACTGGAAATTATGATTTATTAGTTTGTAACGTCACTTTTGGGGTGACGTTCAAAAATATATAGTTTTTGCTGGGGTGTCCTCAGCCGTCGTCCAGGGTCGGAACAATCAAATTTATATTCGCTGAGACAGAGTTTTGATTGATAAGAAAAAGAAACGTAATTTTGTAATATTTTATTAAAAACTTATTTACTCCAATAAAAAAATATGTATCAAACAAAATGCATTTATAATTCAAATAAATCTCTACGTATCATAGCGGTGAAGTTATGTCTCCTGAACACGTAAATTGTATGCTCTCAATTACACGGGATCACTGCTGTAAAAGATAACAATGCTTTTGCGGTTGGCTTTGGTTTATGTGTTGAGAGGACTCCTGGTAGGACTGCGTGACACCCTGGGGTTCTCTTCTCCTTTTCGTAAACGACGGATGCTCTGCGTTAAGAAATATAATAATTTGGCTGAATGAGCCAGGTTAAACAAAAAAATGATAATAATTTAATAATTTGACCGAATGGGCCAGGTTTATATTACTTCGGCTGAATGAGCCAGATTTTGGTTTAATGAACCAGTGGGCTGAATACCACTGCCAGCGTACTTGTCACTTCCAAAGTGAAGTTCCAAGTCCTCGGTCATATCATATGCGATTCCTTTTATACAGAATGTGCCGGAGCGTTGATCATTTTGCTGCATATTTTGTACTATTTGTGTTATTTTTTTTGTGCTTTTCTTGCGTACTTTGTGTTTATTATAGTGCAAGAAAAGCTTTTCTTTGTGTTTTGTTCAACAAAAGCTTTCATGCTTTGACATTTCTTGTTGCTTGTATTAGTTTGTACCGTTTACTTTGTAACATGTGCGCGTGTATTTTTTGTTTTAAATTTAATAAAATTTATTTAGATAAATAAAATTAATTACTTAAAAAAATTAAAATTTTAATAATAATTTTGTAAAATTATTTAATAATTAATATTTCCAATAAAATAAATATTAGTGAATTTAATATTAGTGAAAATAAATATTAATAAGTCTCGGTGTATATTTATGTAGACGGAAATTTGATGTAAAAATGTTCGTCCTTACAAGATAAAACAAAAAAAAAGAGGAAAAAAACACGACTTCTGGATAAATGATGTGTATTTACAGTCAATATCTATTATATATATATCTTCTGCTTAAAAATTTCTTTTTTCTTTAACAAATTAATACCAAAAGAAAAAAACTTATACCAAAAAAAAATGAAACAAAAAATTGAACTCAGTTGACTTAAAAAAATTTAATACCTTACTTCTACAATCTAAGTTTCTAATCTAAGATTTGAAAAAAAAAAAATTAATTTCAAATAATTTGATAGCATACAATTTATATCTAACTTATTAAGATAAATAAAGGAATTGAATTCAATGAAATTAATCTAATTTAATACATTATTTTTCTGGTCTGCGTTTTGTTGCGATATATGTTGCCAAGTTAATATAATTTAGGGATATTTTTTTTTGGTTGTGTTGCTATGTGGATGCTAAGTATGTACATTAAAGTATTTAAGAGTGTGGATATTAAATATGGTGAAAGCTCATATGTTGTAAGAGTATCTGTGCGAGTGGTTTTAGGACAATCATTATCTAGCTCAACTTCCGAATGTTGACCCGAAAAGAACATTATCGAGGATAGCTGTGACGAGCGGGGACATAAAATATCTTGCGGAAGAAAACGTTGCACGTGAATCGATGTCAGTTAAAAGAGAAAGACATTATTTTTATTAAATGAAATTATTAAATGAAAAATTAACAGAAAAAAATAGAAATTCCTAAAACAAATGTACAATTTAAAAAATCCACCTTTTAGTGCTACAAAAAATATTGTGCATAACATTTAATGTATGCTAATGTGAATGCTTTTTTTTTTAAAAAAAACAAAAAAATCAAAATTCAAGTTTATCAGTGAAACAAAAATAATTAAAAATACAATCTACGCTCCATACAATTTTATTTAATTCGTGAAGAAATTTCTAAACTGATCTTGCCACATAACCGTTGAGTTAAAACAATAACTACATAGTTGTCTTCGTATGTCTATGAACCACTAACTGGTAACAGTGAATTTTTATAAATTAGATGGCGGTGAATTAATAAAATCACACACTTATTTATTGGCATGAATAAGGCAGCAAAGAACATCATACTGAAGGGCAAAAACCACATATTGAAGAAAAAGATTTTTTCTCATTTTGCAAATGGATTGATTATCCCAAATTTATAAAATATTCACAAAAAGCCGCAACAACAACAACAGCTATGTGGCGAACAAATAAAAAAAAATTATTATTTAATTTAAATAATATACACATATTTATAAAGTTTTTCTAAGGATTTTTTATTATTATATAATTTTTATAATTGATTGAATATTTAATTAAATTAATTTTTGATACAGAAGGAGTTAGAAAATTAAGTTTGTGCATTTATAGTATGATTGGTTCATTTTATTTTCTTATTATTTTAGTTAGGATAATATTTTCCTATAATTTAAATTTGGTTATCAACATAGATTTAAAGAAAAAAAACAAATAGATAAACGTAATACATATGTATTTATATAGGCAGCAAACTATATACTATAAAAATATTTAAGAGTACGAATATAAAGTGGGTTTGTGGTTTTGTTCTATTTATAAGTTTTATTGCTGGTGACGTCATCAACGAGTAGGCGTATCCGTGAAAAAGAGTAGCGTGGTAAAAGAGTGCTACTTATCATAATCCTCTCTTTTTTTTTTGATTTCTTTTGTGATTTTATTTTTTGTTGTTTTTGCATGTATACATACATATTTCACATTTCTTTCGTTTTATTAATTTAAATTTAAAATTTTATCTTATATTATTCTTTTCCATTATTATTTGATTTTCTTCATTCTTTTTTTTATTTTTTTTGTTATATAATTTTTTGGTTTTTTTAATGCCAATAATTTCATTTGCATGATTATATTAAATGATGGTACAGATCGTAGAGTTCCACAAATTTCTTCTGTATATCTTCTTTATAAATTATTTTAATTAATTTCACTTTGTTACATAAGTTTACTTTTAATTTAGAAGGCAATGTCGTGAATTTAATCTTCGAGAGCTTTTAATATCTTTCTTTGAAAATGAGTCTTTCTTTAAAATGAAAACTATATGGTACTGACAATAGAATTCCACAAATTTCTTGTCTGTATCCTATAAAATAATTTATTTTAGTTATTTTCGCATTCCAGTTAGTTCATTTCTTTCTTGTGAGGCTTCAAATGTTTATTTTTTTTTTTTATGAATTTATTTTCAATTTTTTAGTGCGGTAGTTTAGTTTAATTAAAGCCTACTTTAAGTTATAGTTCACTTGTAATCTTTCACTTGAATTTGGGAGTGCGGCAAGGAACGAAAATTTCACTTAACAACTCTGCGACGGTTTCTGTGAGAATTATTGCATATTTTTTATTCGCCAGTATTATTTTTAAATATAACGATTTTGAAAATTATTTTCGTTCAATTTAGCCGATTTTCTATATTCAATGTTTAATGTTCCAACTAGACAGCGCTTATTTCGTGTATATTTTCTCATTCACAACATAAAAGGAAAAGTTATTCTTTTTTTTTTCTATATTCTTTTACATTACTTGCAGTTCAATTTATAACAACAACAAAATAAAATTTAAAATACAAAAAAACTATCTATAATTTTACCAAGAAGCAAAAAAAAAACAAACTGCCGCGGTTATCACATGTAATGGTTAAAAATCACGAGTCAAAGACAGCTCTTGTTTCACTGACTGCCGCTTTTATTCTCCTTTTTCGTAACTGGTAAAATATAAGTTCCAGTTATGCGTTTGACGATCAATGAACCTAGCTTTCCCTCCGACAGACTTCAGATGTTTTATTTCTTTTGCGTACTACTTTTTTTTCGCTGCAGTTCTTTTAATCATATGTGCGAGCATCAATTTATGCAAAAAGTTCTCCTCGCAGAAGCTCTTTTGACATTTCTTGTGTTTGTGCCTTTGTTTTGATTTAAGGTGTGATTGTTTTTTTTTTGACTTCGTGTCTGTAGTGGTCGCGATAAATATTTACATTTATTCATTAAAATTAAAATAAAGATTAAAGTGTAACAAATATAAATATAAATAATAAAGAAACAAGGTAGGAGTAATATTTAGCTTAAACTTAAAGATTTATTACTTAATGAGAAAAATGAAAACCTGCAAAAACGCATAACGCATAACTTGACAGCTGACAAAGCCACAAACTATTTGTTATGAAAAGCAACTAAAAATATTAACAACTCTGTAATGCATCAACCACCTCTGAGAAAAGCAAATGGGACTTGGGGTAGAACCAACTCCGAAAAAGTTGAACTTTTTTGCTGCTAACTTCGAAGCTACGTTTAGTAACCCGAAACAGCAAAATAGCGACGTAGCACAAAGCAGCTCTACTCGGAATATTGCAGTAATGAAAGTCTCCATAACAGAGATAAAAATAATACAAAAAATAAGATCAAATTAAACAAATCACCGGGATATGATAGTGTTACGGAAAAGATTCTGACTGAGCTGTTTGAACAAACACTTGTATACCTGAGAAATATATTTAATTGTGCTTTTCGCCTTAGGTATTTTCCAAAAGTATGGAAAGTATCAGAAGTGATAACTATACCCAAACCAAATAAAGACATAACTCTCACAAGCTTTTACAGACCAATTAGCAAATTGACTAATTATGTCAAAATTGTT